TAGAGTGAGTATTTGACACTTTGGACTACACACACTGTAACGGTCAGTCAGGTTGTAGCACCATATTACGCCACTGCACGGCGCTGTTTGCATATACACTGTATGTACGCTGTTAGCAAGAGGCACACGCATTTTGCCTCTCTCTCCAACTCTACGTAACAAGTGTTACGGGTGAAATAACTGTCATGTGTGGCATTATATGAAGACCTGGCATTGTTCTATCAATAAAGTAAGTGGAGATAAAACGAGTCTTTTTCCCCTTTTTGAGAACACACACACATGCACACACTTAAACACACACACAAACATACAACACACACACACACAACAATACCGTTTCTGTATTTAAAGATTATTTATGCATTTGTTACAAAGATCAAAGGGAAAACAGAACAGTGCTCAAAAGGATTATTAGCTACATTTTATAACATTTATTGTGAATTTAAAGTGAGAGACATTTCTGAACGCCAGCGCCAGTTAGACCCACCCCCACCGCTTCTTGATTGGACGCCATGATGATGGAGGAGGGACTGTTTTAAATATATTATTCATGTGAAATCTAGATGATACTAGAGTCACATGGTCAAACTGTGTGTGCGACAGGTTTAAAAGTGTCTGTTGAGGGGGTGTGATCAATAAAAAAGCAGAAGGGGATAAAAAGGGGATGAAATTTAATATATAAACAAAAAGGATCGATAAAAGATGATTAAAAAAACCCGCAGTCCACTCGTTCCTCGCCACTGGCCTCCGCTCTTCTCAGTCCTGGGACCGGGCCGCAGTCCCGCCAGCCGCTCGCCGACCACGGATCGCCACCGGGCACCCGCGGGGGAGAGCCGGCACATCCCGGTCTCTCCGTGGGCCTAGCCCGGGCGCGCACGCGCCAATGCGCTATCAATGCGCGCCTCACCGGTGCCGCTCTCTCCGCTGGCCTCAGTGCCCCGTGGTCTCTGGCTGGCGGTGCTCGTCCTTGGCCCGGTCCCGTGTCCTCCTCGTTTGGACTGGCTCTGCTCTCGTCCTCTCTCTGTTCTCTCGTCCTGCAGTGCCCGCCCCCAATTAAAAGGTCTTGATTAAAACAGGTGCGGGTTAGGGGAAGTGTCCAGGGGACAGTGATAAAATGCATGCATTAAAACCAGAAAAACACACAAAACACATCACAAAAATAAAAGCAGTTAAAAGTCCTTTTTAAAAGTCCACTTTCCCACATGTGTTCCAATAGAAAATGAAATAGAATGAAAGTTGCAGACGTCACCTTTAATGGAACAGTCTCGCCCACAGACTGTAAATATCACTATCTCACAAGTGTGTGTGTCTCTGTGCGGCTGTGTTTGCAGTGTCCTCCTGTCCTCAGACGAACAGCTGTTTTCTCCAACGATCTGGAGTCACACGCTCAAAGAAGAGGAAAGACTGTGCAGGACTTTTTTAGAGTTACATCTTTGCACGGATTAAACCTGGTTATTCACTCTTTCACTGGGTTTTTGAATCGTTCCTCGTCGATGCAGGAGACTCTAAGGACATTTCATTACATTTATAACATTTATGCACCAAAGAATCCTGTGTTTGTGTCTTTGTAAAGTCCTCCGACAGATTTATGATCCGATTCTGAACGAAGCCAAAGGGACCGAGACATCATTACATCGTAAACGACAGCTGCTCAGTGTCTGGAGATGACTCTCTAATCTGTAATCTACAATATGTAATCTAATCTGTGAGTTTCCATACGACCACAGATGAACTCTGTGGTCTCTCACTTCATTACTATGGAACTGTTAAAGCTGGGGTACCTGATTTCTAAAGCCCCCGTCTCACTAAATTCCAGCCTTTCAAACAATTCTCTAAATGTGTTCGATTGATTTTTCTTTTCCAGATGTAAATGTACTGATCATTTTTGCTCAGTCCAGCAGCTCTCAGCCTGATTTGTGGCGCCACCTGCAGGTGAAGCCAGATTCACTCAGACCTCGGAAGCTAAGCAGGGCAGGGCCTGGTTAGTGCTGTGATGAGAGACCTCTGGGAACAGCAGGTGCCACAGTGGGGCGGCTGCGGCTATAAAGTGCCAAACTGTGGTTGTGTCCATAGGCAAGACACTTCCCCCACATTAGAATGAGTCTGGTGTGTGTGTGAATGGTTGGTGGTGGTGGGAGGGGCCGATGGCACAGACTGGTTGCGTCTCTTCTGTCAGTGTGCCCCAGGGCAGCTGTGGCTACAGGAGTCAAAAAATGCTGTGTAAACCGAATGCTGTTGTTAAATTAAATTGTTATTTATTTTAAGTCGTATGGATTTGCCGCCGCCTGCAGAGAACCAGTCAGACACTTCTAAATGTAAAACTAATACTGTGTTTATCATCCTGATAGAACGTTAAGTGTGCTTTTCATTCTTACTGTTTGTGAGGCACTAATAACATTTACACTGTGGACAAATAAATCTTAATGTTATATATTTGAGTCGCCAAAATACATTTATTCAACCCGTTCATGTTCTTGGACACATTGTTGTCAAAATGCTAAAAAAGAACTTTTCACCAAAAAATCTGTAGTGAAGGGACTTTGAGCACTGAGGTAAAATAATAACACTGGACCTTAGAGCTGAAGTACATCACTTTGTGTTTCAGAAAGAGAATTATTCTGAGACCTGATTGGTCGATCGAGGCCAGAGGCTGAGGAGAAGTGACACACACTGCACCATTGTCAAACCTACGCAGACATGGGGAGAACATGCAAACTCCGCACAGAAAGGCCTGGAGATGGAGACGGGCCCAGAACCTTCTCTTCTCTTAGTCTAAACATTTTATATCAGCCATGTTTAATACAGGGTTAATAAAGAGTCATAAGTCATGTCACAATCCCAGCTGAAAAAACAAACTCTGCAGCCATGATTAATGGAAAGTCCTGATTTATGCAGAGAACAAGCACAAAACAAGTCTTTCTAATCTTCTACATTATTTTCTTTCCACATTATTTGGACCAATTAGATGATATTGGATCATTTCCAAAGTCACACTAACGGACCACGGCACACAGGTTGGAAAACAGTTCTGGGTTATGTCCTCTTTCACTTCTTTTCCCCTTTAAGCAGAAATGCCACCGATCACTGAAAAGTTATATCCCCATAAAACAGAACTTTTCAGACCTCGTGATTCTCTTTGTTGTTTGATTATTCTCAGCCCTGCTCCTGCTCCAGCGCACATTACAACTATGGGCCAGGATTTGCAGTTAAGAGAGACAGAAAACCCTGCTACCCGTGGTCCATGTCCGCACCACTGTAAAGTCATCGCAAAGTGTCCATTATCCTCGTTATTTTCTCATTTACAGGGAACATCATGACGCTGAAGCTGATTAGATTCACTTAATGTTGTTAATCTAATCTAATAATCTCACACCTGGTTGTTTTCGATCGCTTCTCTTTCACCGTCTTCCGTTTGCTTCTCGGGCACATTCACGGCTTTGTTTTTCCCCACACTCTTCCTGGGAATCCTTTTGATCCGACTAAAATGACTTTGCCGTCCGCAGATCCTTCCCATGATGCCTCTGGAACCTGCCGGCGATAGCAACAGCATCACCGCGGGCTCCAAGAACACGTTGAACAAACTGGTTAGAATCGCCAAACTCCTCCACTCCACGTTGGCGTCCAGAATGAAGCCGACGATGTGGGACGTATTATAGGGCGCGTAGCATACAACAAACACAGCTAGCGTGGATAAGGCCACTGTCAACACCCGCTTCTTGCCGAGAGGTCGGAGATTTGAGCGCCAGACGAGCACCACGCAACGCAAAGTGCAAAACGAGGTTATTATCAACGGCAGAATGAACAACCCGATCGCCATCTCAAGTCTTAGCGGCAGCAGAACATCCAGTTGTGTGTCGTTGAAGGAGTCATAACAAGCGACAATGTCATTTTCAACAGAGATGAAGTTGGCTCCGCCTTCTGCGACGAGTCCGATGCTGAGATGGACCCACACGATGACCCACAATGCAACGCTGAAGAAGCAGGAGATCTTAGTGCGGCGGTACATTTTGTAGATGAACGGGAACGCGATGCTGAGGTAGCGTCCAACGGTGACGGCGGTGATGAAAAGGCAGCTCCCATACACCGAGGAAAACAAGAAGAAGTTAAAAATGGGACAGACCAGAGCCGGAAGCTTCCAGTTGTTCAGGAGGACTTCGAACGCTTTGACGGGAATCCACGCCACGAGAACCAGGTTAGCGACGCACAGGTTTAGCGCGTACACAACGTTGGGTGTGGCGCCGCGTTTACGGGCTTTGCGGACGTAAACGAAGAATACTAAAATGTTGGAAGGGAGGCCCAAGAGGAACGTGACGGAGTAGATGACAATGGCCAGGCAGTCTTTGACCAAGTTATTCATGTTTGGTCGAGTGGTGGAAGCCGCTCAGTCAAAAAATCTCTTCAATGTAGGTGTGGTGGGGGATTATGATCGTCCAAAAGTTGCCCGTTTTCTGCAGAATTGACTGAAAAACTGTTGAAAAAGTGTGAAAAAGCAAAATGAGAGCCAAAACTGGACTGAATCATTCCATGGAGCAATTTTAGCATTTTCTTTTTGAACTCTATCCCACGAGTCGTTTCTGATGCTGAAAAAAGCTGGTTTTCCATTGAATTTAATACTAATATGGTCAACATAAAGTCTTTCAAATCTGTTTCCAAGCCAAGTTTACTTTTGTTCCTTCCAGAAAGCTTCCTATTTAGTAAATCCAGATCCCGTTAGCCTCGTTGTTGTCGCATCAATCTCCCTTCCAGAGCTGTGTCCATGTGTGCCCAGGGCTGTTATGTCTGGGAGCATTAAAAAAAGAAGGCGTTGTCCCGAAGTGGGCATGAGGGGGGCTCGTCCCCTACGACACCGGCGCTCAGATAAGCCACTCGCTCAGGCAGAAACACTGGTCTTTTAGCCGCAGAGACTGGTAGCATGTGGGCACTTAAGTGAAATGACACAGAATAATGTCGCCGGGCTTTCAGACATGGAGCGTTGACCAAACACCAGAGAGAGGGCTGTAAAACTATACGGCCAGGAAAGACCCAAAGACGTGATGAGTTTTTCCGTGGTTTGTTTGTGACATTAAGACACTTCTCGCTGTGTAATGGTATAGAATAAAAGCTGGGGATGGCTTTTGCTTTCATAAAAATACAGCAACAACATCGGCATGGAATTTTACAGAGAAAAGTCGTTCCTAGAAACAGGAACCGAGCTTAAAGAGCACCTCCGTGTTTACTCACCAATCAGTCTCATTGGTCATTTATCAGCACAAGTGAGAATCAATGCTGGACATTTAGAAAAGACCAAGCTGCTGTTTGGTCTGAGGCTTGGCCATTTCATTTGACTGCACATTTATTTACATTGGGCGGCACGGTGGCTGAGTGGATAGCACTCTCGCCTCTCAGCAAGAAGGTCCTGGGTTCGGATCCCGGTCGGACCAGGGCCTTTCTGAGTGGAGTTTGCATGTTCTCCCCGTGTCTGCGTAGGTTTCCTCCGGGTACTCCGGTTTCCCCTACCACTAAAAATATGTCCAATAGTTCTGGCATGCGCCTCCTGTACTGGCCCCGCTCCCATCTCTGTGTGGAGTGAGAGACAATTGCCCAAAAATTAACAATTGTAAACCGCTTTGAGACTTAGATCTGCAGTGAAAAGGCGGTATATAAATAAAAACTTACTTACTTACTTACTTACATTTATTAACATTTATGGACATCGGTCTCCTCTGTTCGAACTGTCTGATTCTCTGATCTATAATTACTTGAATTGAACTTGATCATCAATCAAATAGTTTATTTTGTATCTTGATTATTTTTTATAGTTTCATTTTGCATAAGTTTCAAATCCAATTCTTGCTAAAACTAATACTGCTGATTCTTACTAATTTATCAGAGCGAGGATACAGATACTGAGTGTGCTTTATGAAGAAGTTTATATAAAAAAAGAAAATGCCTGAATCCATGTTGGCCTTAAACATTATATTTAAACATTATATTTTAATAGATTAAATACTGAGTCTCTCAAAAGTACTAATACATCTTAAACATTTACACTTTTTGACATGTTTACCACATAAACATAAAGTTCCTGAAAGTTCACACACTGTCTGGACCGATGGGACCTGAAACCCTGGACTTCCTGGACCTGAGGACTAGTCCCAGTCTGAAACCCTGGACTTCCTGGACCTGAGGACTAGTCCCAGTCTGAAACCCTGGACTTCCTGGACCTGAGGACTAGTCCCCAGTCTGAAACCCTGGACTTCCTGGACCTGAGGACTAGTCCCCAGTCTGAAACCCTGGACTTCCTGGACCTGAGGACTAGTCCCAGTCTGAAACCCTGGACTTCCTGGACCTGAGGACCTTGAGGCGACTTTTGTAGTGATTTTGGGCGATATAAAACAGAGATTTTATTTTACTTAAACAACATCATGACTTTGATCTTATGCAAAAAAGGCTTTTGTCACAAACAGATTCTGATCAAACACTCTTCGCAAAGTTATAAGAAAAATAGAAAGAAACGGTGAAAGTACACAACACACACACATAAACACACACACACACACACACACACACATAAACACACACACACACATAAACAAGTAAACCAAACCACAATAACGTACTGTACCATTATGTAACCACAGAGTAACCACAGAGTAACCACAGAGTAACCACAGAGTAATCACAGAGTAACCACAGAGTAACCACAGAGTAATCACAGAGTAACCACAGAGTAACCACAGAGTAATCACAGAGTAACCACAGAGTAACCACAGAGTAATCACAGAGTAACCACAGAGTAATCACAGAGTAACCACAGAGTAACCACAAAGTAATCACAGAGTAATCACAGAGTAACCACAGAGTAACCACAGAGTAACCACAAAGTAATCACAGAGTAACCACAGAGTAATCACAGAGTAACCACAGAGTAACCACAGAGTAATCACAGAGTAATCACAGAGTAACCACAGAGTAACCACAGAGTAACCACAGAGTAACCACAGAGTAATCACAGAGTAACCACAGAGTAACCACAGAGTAACCACAGAGTAATCACAGAGTAACCACAGAGTAATCACAGAGTAACCACAGAGTAATCACAGAGTAACCACAGAGTAATCACAGAGTAACCACAGAGTAACCACAGAGTAACCACAGAGTAATCACAGAGTAATCACAGAGTAACCACAGAGTAACCACAGAGTAATCACAGAGTAACCACAGAGTAACCACAGAGTAACCACAAAGTAATCACAGAGTAACCACAGAGTAATCACAGAGTAATCACAGAGTAACCACAGAGTAACCACAAAGTAATCACAGAGTAACCACAGAGTAACCACAGAGTAATCACAGAGTAACCACAGAGTAACCACAGAGTAACCACAGAGTAATCACAGAGTAACCACAGAGTAACCACAGAGTAATCACAGAGTAACCACAGAGTAATCACAGAGTAACCACAGAGTAACCACAGAGTAAACACAGAGTAACCACAGAGTAACCACAGAGTAACCACAGTCATTTTGACTGCTCTAAGAGTCCTGGTAGTTTCAGAATCCTGGGAGTCCTAGTGTTGTATAAAAGCCCTGCTGTGGTTCTACTGCTGGAGCAGGAGGCCCCTCCCACTGGAGTTGGTGAGAGGGACCAGAGGCACCGGGGCCCGGTCTGTGCCCAGAGGGGGAGACCGGAGACGGGTCCGAGTGCGGAGGCTGCGCTGCTCCAGGGACAGGGCCTGGTCTTTACGGGACAAGTCCTGGAGCATCCGGCTGTGGTGCAGCCGACAGGTCTGCAGCGAGGATCTGAGGAGAGGAGGCAGCCATGACAAAACACAAAGGTTATCAAAGATTTTAAAGATCTTAAAGATCTTAAAGGTAGTGGGATGAAACATGTTGAATAAACATAAACACAGGAAGAAGAAACAGTAAAATAAAACAAAGCAGCATGGCTAAAAGTGAAAAACTCGTGGAGCAGTCATTTGGACGGCTGTGGGACTCACTGAGCTTCTGCCAGCTTCTGTTTGAGAGACATGATCGTGGCTTCCAGTTGGCTGACTTCATAAATGAGCCCGTGCTGGACCTGAAACAGAAGAATCAGAACAAAAACACTTCAACTTAAAACCCAAAAGAACTAATATGATCACTTTAAATATGTTTGATGTATTTCGGATTTCACTAAAAAGTATTCTTCAAATTGAACTTCTGCATCTTGTTTGTTTCATGTTACAGTGGGGCAAAAAAGTATTTAGTCAGCCTCCGATTGTGCAAGTTCTCTCACTTAAAATAATGACAGAGGTCTGTAATGTTCATCATAGGTTCACTTCAACTGTGAGAGACAGTGTGAAAAAAAAAATCCAGGAATTCACATTTTAGGATTTTTAAAGAATTTATTTGTAAATTATGGTGGAAAATAAGTATTTGGTCACTTCCAACAAGGAAGATCTGTGGCTCTCACAGACCTGTAACTTCTTCTTTAAGAAGAAACTTGTTACCTGTATAGGGCACTGTCCGGTTTCCGAAATGTGCTAAAAATAGCTCAGATGACTGCGCATGCGCGCATGTTTCGGACAAACATTGTGTACGACTCGTTGAGTTCTACTGTGTTCTCCTCATACGCGTGTGTATTTATTTGGGCTAAATCATTGAATCATGGTGACAACAAAACACTGCAGTTATGGTGCTTGTGGGAGCGATTTCAGATACTCTGAAAAGGACTATATGAAAGTAACATTCAACCTGTTCGTTAAACCACAACATCGGACCAGACCAGGACCAGACCAGGACCAGACCAGGACCAGATCAGACCAGGTGGGTGCTTGTGGTCGGCAGAATTTCTCTCATGAAAAGGTTAAAAAGGACACATGTTTTTTCAAAACACTTCGCTGGACCAACTGTGGAGCATCCAGATCCAGTCCTAGCTACGTTTAGCTGGGACTGGATCTGGACCGCTGTATCAGGTCCGTCTGAGCTCTTCTGAATGTAGTTAGCACAAACTTTCTCTTTACACCATTTACCCCCATCAATCCATATTAGTATTGTTTGTCCTAATCCAGAAAGTATACAATTCTCACACCTGAAGAAAGATGAGAGGGATTTTTTTCAACTTTGTGTCTGCTTATTATACGGCTTTGTACCAATTGAACACACAAAATAAACGTCATTCACTACTCATGCCGAAAGGTTTATTTAATGAGTGCAAAGAAAATAGTTCCCAAAGGTTTTCCCGTGGCAGGCGAGTAACAGTGAGGATAGTTAACCTAAAAGCGATCGCTTTAGTCGCATTAAAAAAGTATTTTTGTCATGAAAACCTGAACAGTTAATTCTGAAAACCTCCGTGCACTTGTGTTATGAATGTGTATAATGTATTCTCCCATTAACATTTAAATGTGTTGATTGATTGTCATTTGCGTTTACTGAGTGTGGCTAGCTCTGATAGTTTCTCTCAGAGACAGTGGCGTAACCCGTTGTGATCATGGATTTATTATAATATCAGCTGACTGTAGCTAACTAATGATCAAACTAATTACAAAGTGGATAGTGCAAAAACAACTTGATAAATGGAAGTTAATCACAGCAAAACAAACAAAGAAGGCGCTAGCATTGCAATTTAAATGACTAGATAATGTTAGCATAATCCTCACCATTACCTTTTTATCAAATCAAACTTTCTACCAGTTACTGGAAGACCACGACATTCAAGCCAACGTTATAATTGGTCTACACTATGATCCCTGATGGTTTGATGGTGGAATTTTGCCCCTGGTTTATCATTTTCGTCTAAAGTGACAAGTGGTATTTGATTCATTTCGGCAGTGTTTGTCCGAAACATGTGGGCGGGAGTTGACAGACGGCGGGGGCGTGTCTTAGTGACGTCATTTAGATAGTTCGCTATTAATGGAACCTGTTTGAACCATACCTACTGTGAAGCATGGGGGTGGAAACGTCATGCTTTGGGGCTGTTTTTCTGCTAAGGGGACAGGACGACTGATCCGTGTTAAGGAAAGAATGAATGGGGCCATGTATCGTGAGATTTTGAGCCAAAACCTCCTTCCATCAGTGAGAGCTTTGAAGATGAAACGTGGCTGGGTCTTCCAGCATGACAATGATCCCAAACACACCGCCCGGGCAACGAAGGAGTGGCTCCGTAAGAAGCATTTGAAAGTCCTGGAGTGGCCTCGCCAGTCTCCAGACCTCAACCCCATTGAACATCTGTGGAGGGAGTTGAAAGTCCGTGTTCACTGCTCTGGAGAAGATCTGCATGGAGGAATGGGCCAAAATACCAGCTACTGTGTGTGCAAACCTGGTAAAGACCTATAGTAATCGTTTGACCTGTTACTGCCAACAAAGGTTATATTACAAAGTATTGAGTTGAATTTTTGTTATTGACCAAATACTTATTTTCCACCATCATTTACAAATACATTCTTTAAAAATCCTACAATGTGAATTCCTGGATATTTTCTTTACATTCTGTCTCTCACAGTTGAAGTGAACCTATGATGAACATTACAGACCTCTGTCATTATTATAAGTGGGAGAACTTGGACAATCGGAGGCTGACTAAATACTTTTTTGCCCCACTGTAGGTATGTTTACTGTATGTAGGAAAAATATAAGTTTACAATAAATACTTACTTGCCATGTTTGGTAAAGAGTAGAATGTTGCTTCTTGGTTGAATGAGACTTACTCACAGTCAGAAGAAAGTATTCGGTGGAAAAAGTGTGAAGGGAGAAAAATTAGGGGAATTTTGAAGATTACCTGCTGCAAACACGGACGTGCAGTTGTAAAAAATACAGTTTCAGTTGGGACACTTAGAATCAGCAGAAAAATACTGAGATGTCATCGTGGTGAGATAAAGAAAGTCCTGACCTGTATAAACCTTCTAACACTTTTGTGAATGTGAAGTAGAGGCGGCTGCGCGCTCCTAAAATAATAAAACAATTAAAGAAAAGAAAGAAAAAGCCCAGCAACGCCAGGGCAGAGTGCCCAAAATAAAATAAAAAAGTGCACTAAAGCGCACAGGTTCGTTAAATCACAAGAGGCAGAGGCAGACATTAAGTTAAAAGTGACTTTGATTATGATAAAAAGTTCAGTTCTTGGTTCTGGATGTGTATCTTCCTGTCACCATGGACCCAGGGAGGCCCAGACCCACAGGCCCAGACCCACAGGCCCAGACCCACAGCCGGTTACGACACGCTCGGACCCCAGCAGCGAGGGCGGCCAGACGCCAAAGGGACAGGACATCAGCGCCACAGAAAAGCAGGATTTAGAGCAGGAGAAGGCACGACGGAACGCAGGGGATGGAAGTGCAGACGTAAACAAGGACACAACTTTATACGTGCATGCGCCCTCTAGTGGACAAATATGGTGGTGGCCAAGTCCAGCTTGCCACACAAAGTTAATGTGTAATATGAAGTTAATGTTTTGGAACTGGCCTGGTCTCTGCAGAGGTCCATCCCTGGTCTCTGGGTCCTGTTCTCCAGTCGAGTGTGAGCCAGTTTCAGTGACGCCGTTTTCGCCTGTAAATCTGCATCCAGCCCCTTAATGTCGGCTTCCATCTCACACATCTCCCTCTCCGTCTGACAACCACAGAAACAGTGATTAAAGGAGAGTTTTACAGATAAAGAAGGGTCTAAAAACATCCGGTCGGCACTAGATCATATACGGAATCAGGACCAAACCGGAAGTAACACTCGTACTTTCGAATTAGTTTTAGACTAATATGTCCTTGAGTGGTGACTGGTTAAGTTTTAGGCGTCTGAGTAAGATGGTTAAGGTTAGGGTTAAGGTGGGTCTGAGTAAGATGGTTAAGGTTAGGGTTAAGGTGGTCTGAGTAAGATGGTTAAGGTTAGGGTTAAGGTGGTCTGAGTAAGATGGTTAAGGTTAGGGTTAAGGTGGTCTGAGTAAGATGGTTATGGTTAGGGTTAAGGTGGTCTGAGTAAGATGGTTAAGGTTAGGGTTAAGGTGGTCTGAGTAAGATGGTTAAGGTTAGGGTTAAGGTGGTCTGAGTAAGATGGTTAAGGTTAGGGTTAAGGTGGTCTGAGTAAGATGGTTAAGGTTAAGGTGGTCTGAGTAAGATGGTTAAGGTTAGGGTTAAGGTGGTCTGAGTAAGATGGTTAAGGTTAGGGTTAAGGTGGTCTGAGTAAGATGGTTAAGGTTAGGGTTAAGGTGGGTCTGAGTAAGATGGTTAAGGTTAGGGTTAAGGTGGGTCTGAGTAAGATGGTTAAGGTTAGAGTTAAGGTGGTCTGAGTAAGATGGTTAAGGTCAGGGTTAAGGTGGTCTGAGTAAGATGGTTAAGGTTAGGGTTAAGGTGGTCTGAGTAAGATGGTTAAGGTTAGGGTTAAGGTGGTCTGAGTAAGATGGTTAAGGTTAAGGTGGTCTGAGTAAGATGGTTAAGGTTAGGGTTAAGGTGGTCTGAGTAAGATGGTTAAGGTTAGGGTTAAGGTGGTCTGAGTAAGATGGTTAAGGTTAGGGTTAAGGTGGTCTGAGTAAGATGGTTAAGGTTAGGGTTAAGGTGGTCTGAGTAAGATGGTTAAGGTTAGGGTTAAGGTGGTCTGAGTAAGATAGTTAAGGTTAGGGTTAAGGTGGTCACAGTAAGATGGTTAAGGTTAGGGTTAAGGTGGGTCTGAGTAAGATGGTTAAGGTTAGGGTTAAGGTGGTCTGAGTAAGATGGATAAGGTTAGGGTTAAGGTGGTCTGAGTAAGAGGGTTAAGGTTAGGGTTAAGGTGGGTCTGAGTAAGATGGTTAAGGTTAGGGTTAAGGTGGTCTGAGTAAGATGGTTAAGGTTAGGGTTAAGGTGGGTCTGAGTAAGATGGTTAAGGTTAGGGTTAAGGTGGTCTGAGTAAGATGGTTAAGGTTAGGGTTAAGGTGGTCTGAGTAAGATGGTTAAGGTTAGGGTTAAGGTGGGTCTGAGTAAGATGGTTAAGGTTAGGGTTAAGGTGGTCTGAGTAAGATAGTTAAGGTTAGGGTTAAGGTGGTCACAGTAAGATGGTTAAGGTTAGGGTTAAGGTGGTCTGAGTAAGATGGTTAAGGTTAGGGTTAAGGTGGTCACAGTAAGATGGTTAAGGTTAGGGTTAAGGTGGTCTGAGTAAGATGGTTAAGGTTAGGGTTAAGGTGGTCTGAGTAAGATGGTTAAGGTTAGGGTTAAGGTGGTCTGAGTAAGATGGTTAAGGTTAGGGTTAAGGTGGTCTGAGTAAGATGGTTAAGGTTAGGGTTAAGGCTGGGTTGGGGTTATTTTATGGGAATAGCTGGTTAAATTTAGGCATTAATAGGTAATTTGTAATATTTACTTCCGCTTCCGTCCAGATTCCGTATATGATCTAGTGCTGACCAAAAACATCCCCTATGTTTGTTATTGTTGTATTTCCTGTTTCCCTGAATGAAGACATCTGATTGGTCCATCCCTATGGGCTCAGATCTGGATTTACAAAGACAATATCTCAGTATAAATGATCACAGAGAGCAGGAAACCACAGATATTTCAGCCCAAAATGGTGAGTGTGACACAAACACGAGCCAGAGGAGTTTTACATTTGTTTACAGCTTGTCCATGACCACTTCCCTGTTGGAGTCCATGGGGTGCGTATACCGATGTTCCCCGGGTCCGATGTTCCCCCACTTCTATAGGCGGGGGAACATCGGACCCGGGGAACATCGGTACTTCGCGTATTAAAAAGTCCCGCTGTTCCCCGCGTGCGCGCTTTGATGTTTGATGTTTCCTCTTCCACGAAAGATGGCATATGATCCGCGCCAACTTTTGTGAGAGAAAAAATACTAACTAGCCTAAGCCTATTTACTTTTCTTTTTCCCTCTCGCTCTTTGTGTGCTCATATTTCAGCTGATCGCAGCTTGAGTCTATGCAGGATATTTTTGGGCATGTTATGGGCATGTTATCTCCCCTTGCTCACTCTCCCATGGGCATCTATATTTGACAAGTCTGACTGAATAAAATGAGGACGATTGAAACTAGAGCTACTACATCTGTTAGCCTATAGTTTTTACAAATACGTGGTTTTGCTGAGGGCACTGTGCTTTTACGCATAATGGACACGCATATGACGTTGTTTTTGTTGTAAAACTAGAATATGCTCTTATAGTTTTAGAGATATTAATACATACTGTATTGTTCTATTCAGAACGCGTGCGTCATTGTGCATTGTTGTCCCGCCTTACGTGTCACTCACAGTTAAAATGTAAATAACCAACTCAAACATAGCATTTTTATAACTTGAACTTTAAGAAAAAAATGATCAAAGGAATCAGTGTAAAATAAGATCGGAAAAGCTCAATTCATGATTGTTTAATTAGGTTTCCCATTTTTAAATACAATTGGAAACGCTCAAAATTCAAAAATATTGAAAAGTTTATTGGCTCCTACAGTGGGGGGAATAATAATAATAATAATGATAATACTGCTAAAACAACGTCCATTGTTTTGTCTACTGCTTTGTTTTGATATGCTAACGCGGCAGCATTGTTCGGTCACTTCTGAATTTTTTTTATATTCCATATTGTGTCCGTCTGTTTTTTGCGTGTAGCGAGCGCTTATGGAGGACCGTGGCTGCCAAAACAATAAATATATACAGAAATAAATAAATAAATAAAAAGATTTTAAAAATATAAAACTTGCAAATAAATGCATGCAATTATGAGAATAAGTGCATTTATTTCTCTATTCATTTATTTATTTCTGCATTTATACATTTATTTCTCTTTCTGTATTTATTTTTGTATTTATTTATTTATTTCTCTATTCATTTATTTATTTCTCTATTTATTTATTTTTGCATTTATTTATTTATTTTTGCATTTATTTATTTATTTATTCCTCTATTTATTGATTTTTTTCTCTATTTATGTATTTATTTCTGCAGTTATTTATTTATTTCTGTATTTATTTATTGTTTTGGCAGCCACGGTCCTCCATAAGCGCTGTCGCATTTATCTCGACTGTGAAGCACGTTGGAGAAGCAGACCTGCTTCTAAAACTTGCACAGCACAATAATGCACTTTATTTTCAAATGTTTGTAACCCTATAGAATTTTTTCTATAGGGGGTGTAATCCTTACAGAAACCGCGGGGTTCGTGCAGAATTAAAAAAACAAAATCAGACCATTGTCCTCAAAAACTTGATTAGTCAACAAAACAGTCTTTACATTTTTACATATTTTGCCTATTGAAATTCAATGTTTTGTTTTCCAGTGGGCTGTCTTCCTTTTTGTGTGCCAACTCGCTTGTGCCATAAGCCCCGATCTCTTTTCCTTTGCTGCGCTTCCTCAGTGTTCTCATTTAATATATGGATCGTTATGTCAAAAAACAGCGGCGCAAATACAGTTCAACCTCATTCAGTCTCAGAGGCCTCAGTGGTGTCTCTCGGAGCGTCTGCACTGCAGGGAGAGGAGTGAGGACGCGTCGCCCCATTCGTAAAAAGACCCCTATTTTAATGTGCATAAGGCTGGAGTGCAGCCCTATTTTAATGTGCATAAGGCTGGAGTGCAGCCCTATTTTAATGTGCATAAGGTTGGAGTGCAGCCTTCAGAAACAACCTTGGAGCGGCTTTGGCACGACCACAGTCCAGCTACAGAGCGGGTTGCGAGGATGAACGGAGGGAGATATGTTTCCAAAAAGAAAAGGTGGTGGAGCTAATTTTACTTTTCTTATCTGCATCACGTTCTTATTCTGAGGTGGTAGGTTGTAAAAATGTAGTTGGCTACTACAATGCGAGATCTACAAGGCTTATAATATAAAGTATTCAGTAGCCCTATAGACTAGTTATGAGCGAAAGCCGCTTGTTGCGCCATTATCCGCGCGTAACCGTCAGGCGCATGAAGACGTGCAGCAATAACATGTCTATGAGCGAGGCCCGCAGTCGGGGAACACCGGGCCCTCCGGCGTTTGGAAGGTCCGATGTTCCCCGGGTCCGGGGAACATTGGACCAACCCCCATCTGTGTGTAGCCTCAGACCTTCTGGATCTGCCAGTCCAGCGCGTCCTTCGCCTGCTGCTCGTGATGAGTGCGTTTGCGGAGAGAGAACTCTGTGGCGCTGCGTTGTGCGTCCAACTCATTTTGAAGCTAAAAGAAAAGATCAAAGAAGAGTGAAAAACAAGAATGTGTTTCTGCTCCAACATGACTCCAGTTTGTTTGAAGTTTCCGACGGCACATTTGTTAAAGCTCAGGAACCTAAATGTTTAATCCTAGTGAGTTCATTCGCTCCTCGCTAGTGTGCACCTGTGTGTGTACCTGTGCTAGTGTGTACCTGTGCTAGTGTGCACCTGTGTGAGTACCTGTGCTAGTGTGTACCTGTGCTAGTGTGCACCTGTGTGAGTACCTGTGCTGGTGTGTACCTGTGTGAGTACCTGTGCTAGTGTGTACCTGTGCTAGTGTGCACCTGTGTGAGTACCTGTGCTGGTGTGTACCTGTGTGAGTACCTGTGCTAGTGTGTACCTGTGCTAGTGTGTGCCTGAGCTCGTGTGCACCTGTGCTTGTGTGTACCTGTGCTGGTGTGTACCTGTGCTTGTGTGTACCTGTGCTGGTGTGTACCTGTGTGAGTACCTGTGCTAGTGTGTACCTGTGTGAGTACCTGTGCTAGTGTGTGCCTGAGCTCGTGTGTACCTGTGCTAGTGTGTACCTGTGCTAGTGTGTACCTGTGCTGGTGTGTACCTGTGCTAGTGTGTACCTGTGCTGGTGTGTACCCCTCCACCTCCCTGCCCCCCTCGTCCAACTCCCAAGAACCACCCGCCTCTCCATCCTCTTCCCCCACCTTCCCCTTCCCCTCTTTTCTCTAAACACTAGGATGCACAGGGTCTCTGCTTCGCAGCCACTGGCAGTCTAGTTAGAGGAGAGACCCGGCTGGGGCCCTGTCATGAAGCCACCTGTGCCATTCCCTTAGTGATAACACAAAGAATACATAACAGAAAAACATCTGAAGTTAATCAGTCTAATCTGGAAAATCTAATTCTTGTTCCGTGTAAGAATCAGCCGACCGCAACCGCTGATACTGAAAATTTGAAACTTGCTATGCTAAATGTCAGATCTCTTTGTAACAAGTATTTTTTAATCAATAATTTTATTTCTTCTCATAATCTTGATCTTATGTTCATGGCTGAAACTTGGCTTGACCAAAATTCAGGAAATGCAGTTTTAATAGAAGCATCACCACCAAATTTCAAATTTGAATCTGAAATACGGGAAAACAAAAAAGGAGGAGGCTTAGCTGCCATTTTCAGAGACCACTTTGTCTCCCATAGAATGTCTCTTGGGAAGTTTCCGTCTTTTGAATATGTGTCTTTTAAAATACAACAAAAACAATCTCCTCCAATACTCTTCATTGTCCTATACAAGCCACCACAGTCATGTCACAGTTTTATTGATAATTTTACAGAGTTGCTTTCAGTTGTATGCACAGACTTTCATAGCTTAGTTATTACAGGTGATTTTAATATTCATGTGGATAATGTTAATGACAGAAAGGCAAAAGAGCTGAGTTCTGTTCTTGAATCTTTTGGTCTCACTCAGCATGTGAGTGGCCCCACCCACAGCAGAGGGCACACTCTAGACCTGTTAGTTACTAAGGGGGTGAACATTTATAATGTAAACGTGGTCAATGTTGCGCTTTCGGATCATTTTTGTGTATTTTTTGACATGTGTTTCACTAACAAACCACCAGTGGACTCTGCAACTGTACGAAGAAGACATTTGAGAATGCATCGTATTCTACTGTAGATGAACTGTTTAACTCTGTCACCTCTAGTGTTTTGAATGTTCTGGACACCATCGCTCCTGTGAAGGTTAAAACAGTGAAAAATAAGCAGAAGGCGCCGTGGGCTAAAGCAGACTCGGTCAGGGCACAAAAGAGAAAGTGCTGGAGGGCCGAGCGGAAGTGGCGCAAGTCCAACCTCCAGGTTGATTACGAGATCTTCAAAGATAAGTTGTGCGAGTTTAACCGGGTGCTACGTAGTACGAGAGAAAGGTATTTTTCTGAAATGATTGAAGGCTGCAGCAACAATCTGCGTGTTCTGTTTTCAACAGTTAATAGATTAACAAACCCCCCTGTTCAAATGCCATTAGAGCTAACTTCCAAACGTAAATGTAATGAATTTGCACATTTTTTCAATGACAAGGTTCAAGGCATCAAAAACGCCATTGTCTCCAATCCACAGATAACAATCCAACAGCCAGAAAGGCTCTTTGAGCTAACTCACTTTGCACCTGTAAATGATCAAACTGTCCAAGAGATAATCTCCAGTTTGAGCTCCTCCACATGCAGCCTGGATGTACTACCCACTAGATTTCTAAAGTCTGTTCTGAGCAGTCTGTTACCTTCACTCACACAGATAGTAAACATGTCCCTTCATTCTGGAATATTCCCAAAGGCCCTGAAAACTGCAGTCATCAGGCCCCTGCTAAAAAAGAGCAGTCTGGATGCTACGGTACTTAACAACTATCATCCCATCTCAAATCTGCCATTTATGGGGAAAGTCCTTGAAAAAGTTGTCTACCTACAGCTTACTAGATTTCTTATAATTAACAACTCATTTGATATGTTTCAGTCCGGCTTTAGACCCCACCACAGCACTGAGACTGCTCTTGTTAAGGTTACAAACGATATCCGGCTGAATACTGACGCAGCCAAAGTCTCAATCCTAATCTTGTTAGATCTGAGTGCTGCCTTTGACACCGTCGACCATGAGATCCTCTTACAGAGACTAGAGGACTGGGTTGGCGTCACTGGCACCGCCCTAAGTTGGTTTAGGTCTTACCTTGAGGACAGGAAGTACTTTGTGGAGATTGGAAACTGTGTCTCAGATCATATGGCCCTGACCTGTGGAGTCTGTTAGTATTAGATAGCAATATGGCCTACGTGCAGGACTGTACAAGGACTCTACAAGGACTCCATGTTATGACTATGATGTGACTGTCTCTTTGTGACACGTATGTCTTTCGATGTGTGACGTGACAATGACTATATAAACTGTGTACTGCCTTTATTCTGTCTGGGAGAAAGAAACAGAGTAAACCAGTGGAACTTGAGAGAAACTTAAATAAACTTCCAGAGTTTGGCACACCACGATCCGTCTCTGTCTGCTTGAATCCTGACAGATTTGGTGGAGAATGCGCGGCTCGGTTTGTGCCATTCTCTGGATTGTTTTGGGGGAGTTTGCTTTGTTTCTTTTCCTCGGCGTGAGAGATCGGCATGCTGCGTCTGGGAGCGGAGATTCCAGCAGGCTGGAAGAGCTGTTCCTGGATGCTTCTTGTCGCTTCTGTCACTTTTGTTTTTTTAAATTGAATATTCCGACGCGGAAAAGAGGTTGGCAGACCTCTCGGACAGTCCTTGGAACCGGTTTGACAAGAATAAGGTAAGCAGACACCTTTTTATATGTAAAGTCTGCATAATTGGATATTAGCTAAATTTTGGTCTGTTTTTGGGGTCTGTCAAACTCTCTAAATTGTATTTGAGAAGAAGTCTCGGGGTTAAAGTCCCTTTAAGCCTCGGGGTTAAAGTCCCTTTGAGAAAGTCTCGGGGTTAAAGTCCCTTTGAGCCTCGGGGTTAAAGTCCCTTTGAGAAAGTCTCGGGGTTAAAGTCCCTTTGAGCCTCGGGGTTAAAGCCCCTTTGAGAAAGTCTCGGGGTTAAAGTCCCTTTGAGAAAAGCCTCGGGGTTAAAGTCCCTTTGAGAAGAAGCTTCAGGGTTAAAGTCCCTTTGAGAGAAACCATGGTGGAATAATAAAAGCAATAAAAAGGGAAACGTGTTAAGGAGGCCTTTTGTCACAAAAAGTTTTGTAATTAACCAATTCCAAGCTTGATAAATGACAAAAGTAAAGAAGCAACAATATTTCAGTGATCACGGTTTAAATTACATACAGAAAAAGGGAGTTTTTGTTTTTGGAGTGAACAGAGTTCACCGGAGAATGCAGAGTTTTATCTAAAGTTGAGCTATGAGAGCTTTCGTGAGTTATTTACATTTTTTGCAGAGTTTTATCTACAGTTGAGCTATGAGAGGGTTGTATCCAACAGGGTGTTTTTTGTTTTTTAGAAAGAGATTTTGAGTTTAAATTAGTTTGCTACCTCGATAAAATAGAAGCGTACGTTAAAGACAAGAGTGCCTTTTGTTACTAGTGTGGAAAGTGGCCATTTCTAGACTTGGATGACAAAAGTTTAAAGAACAACATCAGTTATATTCGCTTTAAAAAGTAATCTTGAAAGTTCTTCTTCTGTATCTTTTTGCCTGTGTGTGCACATCTCTATCTGCTGCCGTTGTCAGGGAAACGGCCCCCTCCTTCGCTGCTCTGGCTCTGAATCAGAGCAAAGCTACTGCTTTTAGGATTTCTGGCTTTTCATAGTTTTTATTCCGTTAAATTTACGAAATTTGCCATTTGAACATTGTGTTAGACACAGTTAAACGTTTTTAAACACCATTAGTGAATAAGTTTTGAATTAGTATGTTTTTGAAACCCAAATATTAGTGCTAAAGCTTTGCTTTTCTTTTTAAATCTGCTGCTTATTTTGTGAGTCCATTATTGTATCTCTGATATATTTCATAGCTGTTTGTGAGAATTTTTTTTTAATGTTTTTATTTTAGTTACAAAAGCCGTTTTTCAAACATTTAAATTAGAATCTGAGTTAAAAGTGATTAATGATTGTAGACTTCGTCTAAAAAGAAAGAGGGAATTAGGAATAGAACAGGATAGCTGTAAAAGTATTATTAAGTTAAACTGTGACCCAATTTACAGTCTAAAAGCTGCGAGTTTTGTGAGTTTTGTTTTGTCTATAGCTCTGGCCTTGCAGCTGCTGCTCACTGCAGGGCGAGCAGAGTTTGATAGTGTCTTCCAATTCAAAATGTTTTTAAAAGTTTATTGAGTGCATTTGAAGAATGCAGCAATTATTTTAAATTAGAATATATGCTATAAATGTTCAAGTGTAAAAGGGAAATTCCATAAAGTGATTAATCCAGTTTAGTTAATCTTTTTGCTTTGACTTCATGTTTTCAAGTTTTGTTTTAATGTTTTTCAAAATTCATTTTTACAGAGATTTTTCATACAGTTTTAGTTGCGATTTGAGTAATAATAATAATTCAT